CCGATTACAGAAGGTTACCACTCAAACTTTCCCCGCTGCAACACTATGTACCCAAATCCACAAGTCCCATTCATCGTATCATGGAAGTAAAGCTTGTCAGTGATCATCCAATCTGGACTGATGTTAATCAGGTCACTTGGCGGGTGATTTCACTGGATATTAGTGTTTCCTAAGATAATGTACTCTTTATCACCATCCTATTTTGCACAATTTCACTGACCTTTATATCACATTACCAATCGAATTGGTGCCATGTAGTAACTGTAGTACGCACTGATCACGAAATACGAATCATGGATTGGCAATCACGGACGAGACGTAAGCAATGGATCACACTGATGCTTGCACGAGAGTGTCCCACGTAACCGAGACGCGAGGAAAAGGCTGAAGGAATAGCAGCTCGTTTATTGAGGGGAATCAAGGGGAATAAATAATATGTACAAAACAAGTTCATTAGTCATCCAAGTCTCTGCCAATCGCGTGCTAGTGTTTCTGGTGTTGTACAGCTTCTAGCTGGGCCGCACGGTTTCTGAATGGTCGGTACAATCTACCCATGATCTGTAGTCCAGAAACCGTGACGCGCACGCGCTTTGCAGACGTCACCCGGGAATATTGACTGATCACAGTTGTCCGACAACTGTAACGTGTCGCTCCGTGGTATGCGTCAACTGGTAGGCTAGGATCACCACAGTTACTCGGTCTATGCGTCAGGGTGTGCATATTGTCTACCAGGAACTAGAAAATCCGATTAGTAATACAATCAAATGATCTATGTAATTCTATCCAGTCCTTTGTTCAATAGACTACTTTTGCGATACTACTCACTTGTGAGTAGCAGAAAACGTGATTGATTACTCTCAACGATCAAAAATCAACAAGATCACTGAGGACAAGTTCCTGGGTCCGAAAGAAAAACTTTGAATTTCTACATGCATTACCCGTCGCTTGGACAGGAACTGCGATGGTATGTTTCTGACTAGATTTTCGTGTTATGTATCCCAAATTGGTGATGTCCCGTCGGAAATCCTTAATTAACGATCATTGTCAACCAGCACCCCTTCTGGAATTATAACACTATCGGTCTATTTGCCTTTGAGAACAGTCGATTGAACGGTTACTTTTCATTTGACTACAAATTAGTTCAGTTGACAAGCTTCACACTACTGATTGCCAATATACAGAAATTTTTCCTCACGATCTCATGTGACATGCCATTTTACGCTGTCGATGTTAACAATGTATGTATCACTGCGTTCATCCCCACCCCCAAATAAAAGAACTATAGCATCCGTCAGCTCCATATTATTTGGCCAAAGCTTGTCTTCCTAACAGGCATTGAAATCGCCATACAAATGACACTGATCTTGGTGCAGGCAATCACAAATACTTGAGTCTGCAAATGCTCATAACACGCACTGCATTTTGAGTATTATTCATTTGATTTGATACCTTTGTGAATGTATTAACGTGTTTTTTATTTCACAAACCATGACAAGTTGTCTCCGCCTGGATTGGCGGCATTCATCCCTCCCCTTTTGTCCACTGTTCAAATAACCGCCTGCTAAATACAGCTCGAGTGCGTACGGCCTCTCATGAGCATGCTGACTGACTGGATCCGCTCATTCATTTTCTGTCATAACCTGGACGACACATGACTTCCGTTCCATGATTAAAAAATATGAGCTGCTTCAGAGAATATGGTTTTCTATCTTCATCAATCATTTGACCCGACAGACAGTATCACATGTTAACCAAGATCCTTGTGATTAGCAATGCAGTGTTGTTGATTCCTTTCTAATCAGTTACGTGGGAGCCGAGCATTAACCAGCTATCTTAAGGAATACTTGATCTATTTAAATTGCGATAAAAACAACGCCAAGGCCTCGGAAACATTTGGTCATGAAACACCACGTTTTATCTAGTAAAATTTCCCCACGCCTATGGCGAAATATGCATCTAACATGCTAAATGGAACTTTGTGGAACAAATGTGTTCATAATAAAACGATTCCAGGATTGTTCATGGATGCACAACTGTGAGGTTATCCGGGACCAGTGACTCAACAATCAGGGTACAGCCCCAGATATTAGGTTTTTAGCCCTATTAATGACATCGCAGGAAGGCAATGAGTGGGACTGTCTTAGCTATTATTTAGGAGACTTTCTTCCACCCGGAGATGAGTCACCTTCAAGGTGCAATAGCAAAGGAGTCCTGGGAATACGAAAAAGGTGACAACCTGACCTCTTACTTTCAGTACGCGATTCTGGCCTCTGCCTAGTCGAGTGCTATTTTAAGAGCAACAGGAAGACCGCAATGACCCTATTCGACGGCGGTCCTCGTACGCACATATCACAATGTTTTCCACAGATAACACCCGGCTTTTCCTGCACAGACCGCTTTCCAGGCAAACATTTACCATATTCTCGGATATGACCGCTGTTTGCCCCCGGCTCGCTCTTCCGTGATGCGATTTCGACCCATTCCTAGTTAACCACATAAGAGGCCTTTTTCTAATCCATAACCGGTAACATACAGCTCGACCAGTAGAGCAACCCTCTGAAATGGTCGGAACACGAAAACATGACAACCAACACACTTCGGGGAATAGGCGTGCATTTAAGAGCCAAAAAATGAAAACGTTAAGCCAGCAAACACCGCAACAAGTGTAACGAAATAATAGAAACAAGGTGGGCAATTGGGATTAGTATTTAGGAGAATAGTCAACTCTGTGTAATACATAATATACACCCATCCGAGAGGGTGGGAGCGGAATCGGAATGAGCCGATGGCCACGGCAGTGAATTAACTGACAGACTAAATGAATGGCTGTCTTGTTTTAGATCTGAGTTTCAGAGAGAGAGAGAGAGAAGAAATAAAAAGAGATGCACAAATTTGGCACAGCATTCATATGCTCTCCCTCATAAATGAGTTGTTATACTCCGAATGTAGCAAAGAGAAGAAACAGCTATGTACAGCGAAAAATACTATTTCGGTAGATGGTAGAGGCGGCGGTGGGTTATTAGCGCTTCTGGTCACATGGCCGTCGGCAGACTGAAGATGTTGCATGCAACAGAATAAAGTTGGATCGGTGATTGTTCAAGTGTCTGTACAACAGCTGTATAACATTTGGAATGCAGATCTTGTCTCACATCCATCGATCTGGGATGGAATGCGCCGGTAACGACTTGTATCACAAGCGCTCTCCAGTGGCTACATCAATCCAGCATCTTTGACGGGACGATTTCTCTAGTGCAGTCAAAACGCGTTGTACATACGCCCAATGTTCCGGTGTCGCCAACAACATGTCCATATTCAATTTGGTTCGATTGGGCTGGACACAACCGGTCAAATGATTGAGCCAATGAGACCAGGCAAGACGTAAGGGATGAATATTTGAATTGGAGTCGACTTTTGATCCAGCATCGACGTTTAGGTTCTGAAGTGCAAACGGTATGAGAAGATGGCTTGTAAGTAGACTAAAATAAATTTTGAAATATTTTTAAAAATCATCCTTCGATTTTCCAATAATCTCTTTTGACTCCTAAACAAACTCCGTTGTAGATGAACGAATCTGTACAATGCAGATGAGTGAGCATATCAAGTTCGAAAAAAGGAAAAACTCGGACGAATGTTTTTGATAAGCATTTCTGGATATTTTGATGCAGTACAGCACGTTCGCATTTGACCTACTTCATTATTCGCTTACACAATCGTCGTGCAGGGCTTGTGTTTGGCCATTTGGGAAAAGGATTAAGGTGAAGAATAACAATGCTGGAAAAAACGCGAAAATATAGAATATCCTAAAACTACATTAGCGAAGAAATAGAACAGCTTCGCTGTAGCTTTCAACCACACATCACCAATGGCTGAAAAACTGCTATCTTAATTGCTTCTGCTAGTTTCAGTACAATTAGACAGTCCAAAATTTTATTTTGCAATTGAATGAACAGAATTTTTCAGAAACGGAATTTATGGGTAAGTGAATAGGGTTAATGGGAGTGTTGTAGATGCACCACCAACCACCACATCGTCAGCATGCTTGAATATGAAAATATTTAGGGCGAGTTGTGACTTTTAAATGTAGAGCAGAGAAGAAAAGCGGATACACTGCGCCCTGCAATACACCTTGGTTTACATTGACAATGAAAGACCCAATAACATCAAGACATGTGAACTGGCGTCGACCAGTGAAGTAGTTATGTATCAAATTAAACAGATGTGGCGGGCGATTTCGTTTCTGAAATAATGTCAATAGAGGGTTTTTATCAACTGAACTAACAGCGTTTGTATAACCCAAAACGTAAATATTACCAGTCTCGTGTTTTTGGTCGATCATGAATAACAAGAAATTTGTGAGACAAGGAACTGCATATATAGTAGAGCAACCCCTACAGCAGACGAACTGGTTGAAATCACAAAGATCAAAATAAGAGGGAAGAGCTTTGATACTGACTCGCCTGAAAGTCATAAGCAGTATCGAGGATGAAGCGAGTGATCGAAACTCTCTCCTTTTCCAGCCGCTGGAGGTGATGCGAACATCACCCATGTATCAGCTAACCTATCTTCCGACAGCCGTTTATTGAAGATGAATTAAACCATTTATGCTAGGTAGTTTTCACATGTTTTTAAGACTACTCGGAAAAAATTTGTGTGGACTGAAAAAAAATATTGCTACTGATAGCACTTAGCTCATTTGAAACTTGCTCTGCTGTGACAATCACAGGAGGATGGAGATCAAGTGTCTTTGTACTTGGTGTCGGTAATGCTTGAGCAATATTATTCATTGTAATAGAAGACCTCATTGGTGTCACACGAAACTGTAGTAGGTAGTGGTGAGCGACCGCTAAGCAACTTTAGTTTGTTCTATAGCGAACGACAAGACTTGCCTCCTAGCACGGTGTCAACATACAATTATTGATTGAGATGAGCTATCCGGCTTCCGGTATGAAAGTTGACAGATATGATAGGCAGGTTATCTCTTGAGCGATGAGTCTTCTTTTTCAGCCTGTGTGACCATTTCAGTCTCTCTCAGATGAACCGGTTTAACTGTAAGTGAATCCTGACTTGAGGGTAGCACGCATCACAACATTGTTGAAATAATTTATGAGGCTTTCACATCCGATTGAAATATCGGAATCGAAACGTAGTCAAGTCAGAACAGCCAACCATCGATTCTAATTTCACCAAATTGGACTGATGATGTTGCGGTAGACGTATCTTACGTGCCTTTTCCTTACTACGGATAAGTTAATTAAATTTACTGTATATCGTGGGTAAAACTTTAGTTGGGCAGAAAAAGGCCGGCTCATTAAAGAACATGGGGTCTGGAGGAGCATCGCCCTTAGTGGAAATGTCCTGAAGAGACAAGTGTGTTAAAACTCACATTCGATCTGTTGAAATCACCAGCAACGATGAAAACAGATGTGACAGTTTTCCAACATAATTAGATAAAGTGTATTCGGGGTGGTAAATAACTCACCAAGATTAGTAGGGCGTTGTGTAAGGATTTTAAATGATGATCAAAGAATGGGGCATCAGAAAACGTGATTTACATTCCACAGTAATGCAATAACTTGTGTGCAGCTAGTGAATATGCATTTGGCGGAGCTAAACTGGTGCACAACTGGTGCACATGTGGTGACACCACCGTCTTTTGTTTTCTTTCCCAGTAGTGTATCTGCACGAAACAAATGGAATTTTAACCAATTCGTCCTCGACTGGTAGCCAAGATGCTTGGAAACGTAACAGACAACTTTGAGAGCACTCCGTTGTAAATCAGGAGGTGGATGTCCGATAACTCTGAGAGAATTGAGCAAACCTTTGAATCCAAGATGATAGGGCGATCAATGATCGTGTTTCTGAGCTCTAGTGCAATATTCAAGCCAGCACGATGTTCCCTCCGTCTGCCAACTGCATTTTTGGTGATCTTTCGGACTTGATCTCTCACAAAAAGGAGAAAAGTGCTTGAAGGTGAATCTGAATACATCTTTTCGGTGAGTTGCTTCTCAAGTAATTACAAACACTTTCCAGTATCCGATTAGCTCATTCAATTTTTCACAGGTACCAGGCACTACTGACGGGTCCCAAACAGGACGAAACAGCTATTCAGTGCTCTTTTCCAGTCATCACAAATGTCTCCATCGCACTTCAATCCCCTACAATCACATTTATGTAAGAAAGTAACGGAAGGGTGTTGGGGTCAAGCAGTTCAGGTGAAATGATGAAAGCAAACGGGTGGGCTAGAAACGAGTTTGTTTCTAGCTTTCTATTTAAGACAAGCGTTGGTGATAGATTCCGATCATCACAACGCTCATGCGTGAAGTTGTCCACTTCTGACCAGGGAAGTTTGAGTGCTCGGACAAGTGTTTCTTGAGCACAATTCTTTCACCAACAAGCGGGTTATAATTTCTTTGGCTGTTACAAATACGTAAATTCGGAAAACCTTGGTTTTGTGTTGTGTGATGTCATAAATGATGATGAGGCGAATTAGCATCCGCCTTNTGTCCGGTCTGGACCAAGTGTGTCCAAGCAACATGGGAGAATGTTCCTTAAATTGTCGTATGACCATGTGAATTGCACCACAGATGCATTTGAATGGGTAGATGAGTACTGGAAAGCTGAAAGTCGGGGTTTTCAGCTACCCTAAGTGAGAGAATAGTTGGTGGTCCGTCAAATCTCTTTTGATTAAAAATCCCGGGACAACCGACGAAAATATTTCCGGTAAAATAAATAACTTCATAGATCCGAAATTTCATGAGAAGGGAGGAAATCAAACTTTAAATTATAACGCAGAAGAAACTGTACAGCCAATGGCAAAAGAAAGTTTTACAATGTCTAAATGTACCGAAACCAGCAGAATCGATCAAAGATTCAGCTCTTCAATCCGTAATAACAAAACCAACAATGTGAAAATGACAGCTTAACATCCACCATTAGCTGTGCATAAGTAATACTGTTAGCAAAATAGGAAAACCGTGTTAGACCAAAAACAAATATCTGTAAATCACTGGGCAATGGGGTCATGAGCGGCATGCAAATAGAGCATCAAAACACTGACATCTGACTTTAAATGGACTCACTTTAGTACTGAATGTCACAGTCTCGGTATTATGTGCGACGGTGGTAGCACTGATTACCGGTACATTGTGAACAGATGGCGAGTCATAACTGATTTCAGATAACTTCCGATGCAGTGCCCCGTTAGTCAAAGGCTTTTGGGAGGAAGACTTAGAATCGCTGCTGTGTAATCCATTTATCGAATTATCTTCGATGGGTCGCTCCTCGTTCTCGGAGACCGCAGAAACACGTTTCCACATCTTGCTTGTCTGCGTTCTAGAGCTCAAGGGTTTTACAGGTGTCCAGCTTATTTGATTTCCTTGATCATGTATAACAAAACGCCCGGAAGAACCTGTTAACTCAATATTTAGGCGAAAGTCTTCTGTGGAATCCGCGCCACCAAAATCCACAGGAGGTAACTCGGACGATATACAAAACACCGCGACAGGTGAACCCATTCCGAAACAGGTACCACTTTCACTAGGTTCTAATTCTCCAGTAATCACAACGTAATCCTCAGCTGACATCCTTCTGATACAATTAGGATCATCCGTTAGTTTCCAGTCAAAAACCCGTGACACGCAGTTTACAGACGTGAGCTTCAAACCACCGGTCAGGATAAATGCGACGTCTATAAGGCCGGCGCCGTAGAGATTGATCAGACCTCCTCCCATAACTCCGGGTTCACAAAGCCAAGAGTAAGTCCCGGGCTCCACACTAGTAGTTGTTGAAAGTCTGGCGTGGAAACTCCGTGGTACACCGAGAGACCAGTGAGAGGGTAAACCGGATGAGTTTCTAACAGAATCTAGAGGCTTCCGGTCACGCAAGCTTCTAAGATGACTAGTGAGTAATGAAACAGGAACGATTTTGCGAAATGGCATAGCGATTCGAATTGGCACATCACGGTCCAGAAGTTCTAGATCATAGCACGGACTGACGGGAGGAATGATTATTACAACGGGTGATTTAGTGGAGATTTTTGATGAGTCTGTAGATAGCCGCTCCCCCCAAAAAGTACGTAATATTTTGAACTGCACCTGAGGTGAATAGCATAGGAAGATGAAGTCGTAATCAGGTTCCTTTAGAAGGTCCTCAAAAGTGCCGCCCACTCTCCTCAATCCATTTATCTCATTTTCAGAGAAACCATGACCACTCCAAAAGCCAGAAATTTTGATTTTCTGGTTGAACATTAACACAGCCTGTACAAAGAAGGAAGTAGTGGATGAAATACCACACAAGACAACATTTGCAACTCCTGAGATGGAATTGAGAGGATTCATTTGTTGAAGCCGGAAAATTTCAAAACTCTGATGGTTGAACAAGCTGATTCGCACGTATACATTTTTCTTTGGCCAAAACTACACCAATATCTACCTTATTCCAGTGAAAAATACACTGGGAAATACTGCACAGCTCATGCTGAACCAATGGATATCACAATGCGCACTAGTTGAAGGTCAAGGTGACTGACGCTAAATTAGCATACCTCAAATTTTCAGTGAGTCCAATGTCCAAGGTCCAGTTTAGAGGCGGAGAAAGCTCGTTGGCTTGTAGTTTTGCCTGTTTCTTGATCTATACGGTAAAATCTGATGTTCGCAAATTTCTGTTTTGTATTCAGGTCAGGTCAGGTCGGTTCACAGGACGTAGCGGCGGCGTGCCAATTTGTCCAGCTTCTTGCACTGATGGGCTCCGTGGATCTACTGGTGCTAAGACAACAGGAAGAGAAAAACACTTCTTCCAATTAAACGAATAGTATACAACGACCAGGAGAGACCCCTTCGCAGGGCTCCAGTCAGAGGGGATTGTCAAGAATGGTTCACGGGGATTGACGGGGATTGACGGGCTTGGGAACCGAAGTTTTCGAGTAGCCCGGGTTCTGGTGGTAGGTTTATTGCTCAGTGTCGGACGGAGGTCCTCGGAGTAGTTGTTTGTCACTCGGTATTCGAGTTTGTCTGAAACAAGAGACAGTTAGGAATGCTACTGTTCAACTGGGTGGGCCCGTTCGTACGTAACCAATGGTCAAGACAACACAAATGGGTTCACAAAGACGCTTGCCACCACACGCTTCTCAGTGTTCCAATGGCGCCCACCGCTACAAAACCGTTCTAGATGACCAGAACGCACAACCAGATCATGCAATCATTCTTCCAGCAGTCGGGGTAAGTGAATCAAGAAAAACATTGCAGAAGGTAGAAGGTAGGGGAATGGAGTGGGACACCACTCCCACCTGACCAGAACCGCATCCACAGCTTACTTGGCACAGGATCAACAGATTGCCCCAAGGCTGCATGGCGCGGCCGCTTCGACCAGGATTTTGGTGTGTAGATGAGTGCATTGTGTGAGGAGTGACTGTGTGTATGGGTGCTGTTTGCAGTTAGGGAGGCAGTACCCC